TTATATATATATATATATATATATATACACATATACATATATATATTTTTTTTTAATTGTCATATAAATTACGTTGGCACGGCAGGATCATTCTAACATCTTTGCACTATCATTGCATCCACGCTATTACTTTTACGTATACCTTACTGGGTGTGATATATTTGAACGATTAATACCACGCAATAGATAGATTTGTAATATTGCTAATTTATCAGACACGGATTGCAAGAGTTCGTGCGCGTAATAAAAAGAAAAAGAAATCGAACATTTTACGATCAGTGATCTCTCACAATCCGTGTCTCGTCGTATTAATTTCCTCCCTCTCTTAGTATGGTAGTCTGAATACGAGAACGCTCTATGAGAAGGTACATATTCGTTCCTATTAGCGACAATGATCGACACTTCGTTTATGAATGATTCGAGGCATTCGAATTTCACGATTTAACTCTTTCATTATGGAATTAAATAAGTAGAGGATGATAGTTTAAGTAAATTTGAATAAATGAAGAATTTGTATGAAAGTATGCGTTATTAGACGAATAATATTAACTTTAATGAATTCTCAATAAATCGATAGAAATAATCCATCATAATGAAAGAGTTGACATCGATACGAAACGTTCACTGTCCAACAATCTACATTCCTTGCAAACATAATTAATATGATTATGATTAATATGTAATATAATTGATAATGGAAACAAAAAAATTATTTTAAATGTAACGAACTATCCTGGACAGTAAATGTGTTAAAATCTCTAATAATAAATCTACCTTCTTTATTCTAAACGTTAGCTTTGTTCTTTATCAATAGAGCAAATAGATTTCTTTTAAAATGTTCGGAGTTAATATATATATATATATAGTTGATTGCTATAATTAATACAACACGAACATGTTGTTAAACCTTGAATTTGATCAATCCTTGCCACGTTATTGAAGACTAATGAAACATTGTCCAGTCTAACCTAACATTTATATTCTCTCTTGTAGATACTTTCATATGCCATCATCAATTACTATTTGTTCGTGTTGTTATTTTAACAACATAGTTAACGGTGTTCAAATGTTGAGCAATGTTTCGAGTTCAGACTTGCCATCAGAGACAGAAACACACATTCTATATTATAATACACGCGCCACATGCGAACAATGGAAGATCCGGTGTCATCACGAGTATACGTGGGCCTTTTTAACGCATCTAACTGTCTCTTAGTCATTTCTCTCATTCGAGGTTTTATAAATCATACGGCGTTAGGAAGATATCAAAAGATAAATAAGTATCGTTCGGCCAAATCTCTTTTTGTTTCTTTTTTTTTTTTTTCTTTTTTTCTCTTGCGAGAAATAACAGCGAAAAATAGTTAAAAAAAATCAGAAACCTGCCTCTCGACCATGTGCAAATGCAACAAGACTGACGATGTGGCTTCGAGAAGCGGTTTTGTGTGTGTTCGTTTTTTTTTTTTTTTTTTTTTTTTCTTTTTGCGTGTAGAAAAGATGAGACAAGAAGACGGTTCTCTCTTTTTTGCCCGTTTAATTTTTTTCTCTCTCTCTCTCTCTCTTTGTATGTCCACCGTTCGTACGACGCGACGAGTGCATAATTAATTTAATTCTACGTAGAACAGCGTCATTCGCAATGTTTACGATTAGTGTAATATATATAAATATATATTAATTACCGGTTAGGGTGTGATACTACTTTTGGTATAGGCATAATTAAACTTAATTAGATCCGTGATGCAAGAATCCGTGAAAAAAAAAAAAAAAAAAAGAAAAAGAAAAAAAGAAAAGAAAAATAATTTGTACGATTTAATCATCCATGCGTTTGGGATGCAGCGTTGAAGCGTGCGCATACCCTTTGCATCGCTTTTTTTGTTTTCATTTTCATTCATTTCTCTTCCTTCTATACCCTATTCGACTAACTAGTGTGTTTTAATCGAAATAATGGAATTCACATTTTGTACAGCGAGATATCTATCGTTACGAGTATCGGCACGATCTTCGACGATTCTGTGCGAAATGTAGGAACGAACAGAAATGTGTAACGTGTAAGATCAATTTAATTAAGTATTTAATCTCTTTCTGTTTTTTTTTTTTTCCTTTTTTCTTTCCTTTCGATTTAATTGCCTTATCAGCACAGAAATGTCGGAAGCATCACGATGCCGATACAATCGGAGAAAAGAAAAATTAAAAATGAAAAGAAAAAAAATATATATATATATAATGGTCTTGACAGCACTTGATCGACGTTCAATAAACGTTGGTGAACGAGAGAAATTTTGTTCTTTCTTACGTTCACTCGACGTTTCGAACGTTTGTAAGTACTTGCATATTGTGTTCTCTTTTTTTCTCGCTTTTACTTTATTTTTTTTTCTTTCTTCTCATTGTTTTTTTTTTTTTTTATTATCTTTTACTTTCTTCCCTCTATCTTACAAAAGATCCGTGAAAAGGAAAAAAAAAAAAATCGTGGAGCAGTAGAGAGTGCCATCGATAAGAAAGAAATCGAGCGAAGCGTTGGACAAGCGATTTCGACTCGTGTTCGAGGCTACATCTTCTTCGATCGGCGATCGAAAGAGAAATTATTATGAAATCTATTTTCACCTACCCTGTAACTTAAACCGTCTCGTTCTTTCCACATCTGAAGAAGATATAACTCGAAACGAATTAATTTTGAAATTAAAAGAAGAAGAAGGAAAGAGAAATGAATAAAAATTTGTGAATCGGAAGAAAGTTCGTCCAACGCTTCGATCAACCTAATCTAATACGATAAAGTTACGATGATGAAAGCATCGGTCGCATCATTCGTGCAGGAAGTACCTATTTCTAATGATAATAATAATATTAATATTAATAATAATAATAATAATAATAATGATAATAATGATAATTAATAACTTATGATAGAGAGTGCGACTACTTGAATGATCATTTTGATGCATACTACTATCAACCGTCACAAACGCACGTTGTGGCGAGCCACGGTGTGATGATCCTAATTAATCAATGCCCGATAGTACGAATTTAACGGTCTAGCAGTAATTACGGGACGATCATGTACACGAAAGATGAAAATAATATTTCAAATCCGCGAAATTATTCGCAAGGTTGCTATACGAAACAGAACGCTCTATATATAATGTATACATATATCGATCGATAACTGCGAATCGACAGAAAACAGAACATTCTTACCGATCGATTCACAGGCGATGAATGTTCAGGGTACGAATATATTCGAGATCTGTTCTCGAGAATATTTTCTTCTGTGAGTGGACACCGAATCGAAAGTAATCGATAATCATTTTCAACGCTGTGTCTATTTTCGAAAAAATGTTCTCTTCGAGATCAACTCTCGATAGATTTATACCCTTGGCAAAAAGAAAAAGAAGTTTATTTATCAGTTTGTTTTATTTATTCGTGTACACGTGCATATATACATATATATATATATATACATAGAGGTTCGAATCGAGAAACAATTTATAAGTGAAAGTAAATATTGCATCGCGACTACGATTAATCTCGATATTATTAAAAATGACGGTTTGACGTAGTGCGTTATTTGTTGTAATAAAAAAAAAAAAAGAAAAAAAAGAAAGAAAAAAAAAATATTAATGAAAGAACATGAGATCATGTGTTACTAATGCGTGTTCGAAGTTTTCTATGATCGGCCTACTGTTTTACGAGTTTAGAAGATCGCTCGATTTTAAGAGTTACAGTAATAGTATAATCTCGCTTGGAAAAAGAAAAAGAAAAAGAAAAAATAGTGGCATCTGCCGCGTGTAAGAACATCGAACACTTAATACAATGTGAACTGTAATAAGTGTTTGTCTCCATTCATACCTGCGATTATTTATGTCTCCTTCTTTCATTCGTTCATCATTCCTCTTTCCTCTCTCACCGTTTATATCTTCTATCCTTCGTCGTAATTTTGTACTGTGGTTAATATTGTTAGCGATTTCTGGGTGTGCATGATACTATTTTTTTTTTTTTTTTTTTTTTTAAAGAATGTCTCTTTTTTTTCGATATTTTTTTCATGTTAGGACTGGAAATCAAGGAAATAAAAATTTTTGAAAAGTGATTTCCTTATTAAATTATATTCTTTTTTTTTTTATTCTTTCCTCCCTATCTCTTTTCTCACAGTTGTTAACAATGATACGATGCAATAAAATTTGAAGTTTTTTTTTTTTTAATTAATAATCCGGTAATGGACACTTGGAGACCTCTATCATTCTTAACTATAAACACTTGAATTACAGACTATTCCAGGCTCTTAATAGCTCTTTTCTCGACTAAAATCTTACGAAAAAAGTCCTGGGAAAATCGAAGGGATACGAAAAATCTTCTATGGTGATTCTCTCGTGGAAACGGAAGTGGATCATCCGTGTTGTAACGAAGTTCAAACCGCCATTGCCATTTCGCGTTATTCGTCATTCATCATCGGCCATTCTGTGTCCCCTCCTTCGAGTTGTTGTTTGAATTTTTGCATGCATCCTCTGGACAAATAAAAAAAAAAAAAAAAAGTATATAGAAATAAGAGAAAAAAAAATCAACAAAATATAATTGTTGGCCTGGAAAAAAAAATCGCTCCTAATCGAAGAAGTTGTCCCCGACACTTTTTTTTGCTAACCCCTGCCTGCTGGTGTGTGAAAACTATTCAGTCACAGTGTAAAAGCGAACGTGATCGGAGGAGATTCCACATGTGGATCGTTCAGGTAACAATTCTTTTTATTTTTCTCCATTGTTTCGTATATATATATATATATATTATAGTTAAAGTATAGATAAGTTTTTTTAGAGAGTTGCGCCCCCTAAAAACGCCACGATACATGACACGATGACGACAACAAATTTACTGTGACGGTAATAGAAAATGAAACGAGAACACGTAGTAAGAAATTGGAGTGATTATCCTTGCTTGTAAATTGAAAAGCGAATTTGTGATTCTTCTAGTCGCTTACCCGATTAGTTTATTTTTATTTCACAGCACTTCTTCCTTCTTTAATCTTGCTTCTGAAGTTTGGTTTGATTTTTTTTTTTTTTTTTGAGGGGAAGAGGAAGCTATTTTTCGTTCGATGCATTGCACGTATTAATACTTTCTTGATGAAATCCAATATAAAGAAATAAAATGGATGAAAAGAGCGCAATGCGTTGATGCGAAAAAGAAGCATCCACATTCCAAAAATGAAGGATTTTAAAAAAAAAATTCCGATTAGACGATCTCAATATCAAAGTATTCTTACGAATCGAACTGGATGTTGACGATTCTCTTCACAATTAATTACATACGGGTTCCACGATTTGGATTTCTATCATATGAGAAATTTACAACAATTGTGACGTAAGGATTAGAAAAAAAAAAAAACGAAACAGAAGCAATAATCTAAAAGAAAAGAAAAAAAAGGAAAGAAGGACGAAAGAGGACAAAAATACAAGATGGACGGTTACAGGCCCTGGGTGTAGGATATCCGGGGAACAACGTTGTGTCGCGTGTTGTTCCTCGTTCACGACTGCCTCTTTCATTAATCGAGATTGCGTGTGATATGCTTGCAGTGGCACCGCCAGTGACGCCGCCGAAATAAAGCTCGGGAACACGATAGGACGAAAATCGACACCAAGTCCGGACACAGAGAAAATTATCGTCAGAATGGCACTTAAAACAACAACACCCACCCAATGCGACAAGAACCCGCAAGCTGACCGATGGGATCGAGCCGGAAACAGATATATATATATATATATCTTACGACACATCATCGACACGTAATACATTGACACACGCAAACGCACACACAGATTTATACACACACGCATATGTATTTACACACTCGTTACAATCGCAAACAACACGAGGATATATTATCGTTAGGGAAAAAAGAGATAGAGAATGGGGCGCGTTTTTTTTCGTTGAGAGTCGATAAGAAAATTTGTACGTTTTCTTTTTTTTTTATTTATTTATTTATTTTTTTTTTTTTTTTGGTTGAAACGAGTATGGCGAGTAATTTCCAGAGAAATTTAATGGGAGGATCCCGAAGTGTGTCTGGGTTCTGGGTGTTAATTTCGTTCGCTGTTCTTGAAAACTTAGGAAGAAGAAGAAGAATCCGTGTTGTTCACCTTTTCGAGAGAGAGAAAATGAAAAAGACGTTAAATAACATAGGAAAAGACAAGTATGTATCGATGAAACGTGTCGATATTTCAAATACTGGTCGATCGTTGTTGTGCATTAGTTAAAAATACGTTTGAAGCTTTATCTTTAGATACAGAAGAAAATGAAGTAACGTATCTCTTGCTATACTCGTTTTACCGATCATGCTCAATATATCGCGCCCTGGTTAGAAAGGAAGGTTGAAAGGGGGAGGGAAGAAAAGAGATGCACACTTTCGAAGGGAGAAAAGGGGTGTGTTATCCACTCGTCATCCACTCGATGACGACGGTTGTTTCTTGATTGAGTAGGATAGAGAGGAAAAATTATGGACAAAAATTAAAGGGAAGAAAGGAAATTGAAATGAAAAATGACGCTTCGAGAAGGGTTTGAGTTCTCGACGCGTTTCGAGGAGGAAAAATTAATATAATAAAATGTTGAACGTCTAATCGGAGCAGCTTGCCACGGTTTGTCCACTCGAGAGATCGAACGAGGGAGAGACGTTGAATAAATTGGTGTTTAAGGATCGAATTAATCGATGTGCGCCTGTGTTATTATGTTGCAGTAAGCGAAACGGTCGTCGACAAGTGGGCCTAGCCTTGTCTCGCCGTGTGCCGCCGGCAACAAAATTCCTCTGCCAGTAACATCGAGCCGACTAAACCAGAGAAAGAGAAAGAGAGAGATATTAATTAATAATAATAATAAATAACGTAAGGAGAAAAAGCAAGGAGAGAAAAGGGGAGACACGGAGAAGGAGCAAGCAAGGGGCCGAGAAATGGAATGGAAAGAGGAGGGATCTTGTGTGTGGATAAGTGGTTTCGGAGGTGTATCGATGAAATTTCAGAAAAAAATTCGCGCAAAAGGAGGGATGCAACGATGTTCGAGAAAATTGAAATGATTTTTCCTTTCTTTTTCTTTTTCTTTTTTTTTTTTTTCGATTCAAATTGATTCGCGCGGTTGGACAATGATGTCCATGATGGCAAGGGAACCATTTTATTCGTCCACATCCATCCCGATTTCCCTGGCTGGCTACCGCACTGCCGCTACTTTTCCGTTTCGTCGTCTACGAATCCAAGAGAGAAACTTTGCTCGCTTTGTGCTTCTTGCTCTTCGCGTATACAGAATCCAAATATGTTGTATGCATCTATATGATATATAAATGACGAGGAAGAGGAAATTGTTTCTAAAATGGGATATCGAATCGATGGTTTATATGTGGTTTAACATGTGGATAAAATATGGATGGAAAAAAGGAAGAAAAATTGAATGTTTCGAGTCGTTTGATCGATAATATGGTTTTTTCTTTTTTTTCTTTTTAACAGTTGCAATTCTTCCTCAACATTGGTAGAATTTCTATCGACGCATACACGATTTCTTTTTTAATTTTTTTTTTTAATCAATTCGTGTCCAATCGAAGAGAAATTATAATCGATTTCGTTCTTTTTCTCTTCTCCTCGCTTCTTTTTCCTTCCATCCATTCCTTTTTTTTTCTTCCTCGATCTTCTTCATTTTCTCTCTCTCTCTTTCTTTCTCTTCATTTCCACTTCTTCTCTCTGATCGTGCTTTTTTATCGCCAACGATGCTAATTTAACGCCCTGAAAGACTCTTCTATCGATAAGAAACGCACATCTCTAATCGTCGTCCGGAAAAAATTTTGAACATACAATTCAAGATTTATTGGAAAGATACGGATCGGATGAACATCAGACGAGCATCGAGATTATTTTCCTCGGAAATGATCGTCACGATGATTCCAGTTCTCTGCCAATAAGGAAACCCTCCCTTATCAAGGTCATCGTGTATCGAGTCTACGACCATCGAGAGATTTCGATCGAGAGATCAAAGCGAGAACAATTGGAAACGATGACGATAAGTGGATTAATTGACTTGAAAGGAGAACGGCGGCAGAAACGATGGAAAAGCAAGTGAGAATCGAAGAAGCGTTACCTCCCTTTTGTCGTTGGACCGAGTGGTACGCGCGTTTTCTTTTTTTTTTTTTTAGGACGAATGTAAAAAAATTTAAACGGCGTATTTTGACGTACGTGCAAGTGACGTAACTTTCGATGGAGTCTTCCAGCGAACCGTAATTCTAAAAAGAAATGGAATTTGATCGCGGAAGCCTCTCGATGCTCGCGAAACTTACGTCGCTAGAGGAAGGAATAGATGAAAAAGAAAAAAATATATATATATATATACATAGAGAGAGAAAAGGAGGAGAAAATAAAATCGACGAAGCTCGCGAGATTTAACCATTGTACATATAAAGAAAATGTAAAGAGTATCGCGTTGTGACAGACGCGATGTTGAAGAAAGAGAAATTGATTAATTATTATATATAATATAATTAAGAGAGAGACATTAAATATACATAATATATACATATATTTTTCTTCGTGAAGAAAGCGCACAGACAAAAACCAAGCGTAAAAAAAAAAAAAACCTCTCGTACAGTCGAACGAACGCCTCTCGAGCGAGAAGGATTCGAGATTCGACAGAAACGGAAGTATAACAGAAATGCCCTCTGTGCCTTTTCTTTATCACCTTCGTTTCCTGATTTTTTCTTCTTTCGAGTTTATTCGGTTTAATATTAAGATGGAATTAACTGCCTGTGAATATTCTGATTGTTAGGAAGAAAGAGAAAAAAAAAAAGAGATTTATCTTTCTTTTACCTTGATTCCTTTTTCTCTTCGATTTTGTCTTCCTATTTCTTGCCGTCAAGACCGATGGAGAATGTCGCCACCTGACGAGAGTTTTATTTCTTCTTTTTTTGGAGTCTTCCAGCGAACCGTAATTCTAAAAAGAAATGGAATTTGATCGCGGAAGCCTCTCGATGCTCGCGAAACTTACGTCGCTAGAGGAAGGAATAGATGAAAAAGAAAAAAATATATATATATATATACATAGAGAGAGAAAAGGAGGAGAAAATAAAATCGACGAAGCTCGCGAGATTTAACCATTGTACATATAAAGAAAATGTAAAGAGTATCGCGTTGTGACAGACGCGATGTTGAAGAAAGAGAAATTGATTAATTATTATATATAATATAATTAAGAGAGAGACATTAAATATACATAATATATACATATATTTTTCTTCGTGAAGAAAGCGCACAGACAAAAACCAAGACGTAAAAAAAAAAAAAACCTACTCGTACAGTCGAACGAACGCCTCTCGAGCGAGAAGGATTCGAGATTCGACAGAAACGGAAGTATAACAGAAATGCCCTCTGTGCCTTTTCTTTATCACCTTCGTTTCCTGATTTTTTCTTCTTTCGAGTTTATTCGGTTTAATATTAAGATGGAATTAACTGCCTGTGAATATTCTGATTGTTAGGAAGAAAGAGAAAAAAAAAAAAGAGATTTATCTTTCTTTTACCTTGATTCCTTTTTCTCTTCGATTTTGTCTTCCTATTTCTTGCCGTCAAGACCGATGGAGAATGTCGCCACCTGACGAGAGTTTTATTTCTTCTTTTTTTCTCTCTCTCTCTCTTTTTCTTTTTCTCAAAAGAAAGAGTTTGTTTCAAAGACAACGTTCGATAATTTCGACAGAACGATAACGGTAAAAAAGTATCTTTCTCTCGTTAATTTTTCGTTGTGTCCCCCTTCGTTCAGACATTATCCCTCGTGTCATGATGGTGGCGGTGATGAATCCGAGTGAAAACGCTCGAACATAACCTAGAATTCGATTATTTCCACTATCCGTGCCAGGAGGACAGAGTGATTCGTAATTTGTTTGCAAGATTGTTTTTTTTTTTTTTTACGTGAGATTGTACGAAAAAAAGTAACATCCTATACTGGCCAAGCTAGATTCCGGTGAAAATATATTGTTTCTAGGGTTAAATAATAAACTTTATTCTCTTAAACTGTAAGATAAATTTTAGACGTACGAAAAGAGGAAAGAGAAATCGAATTTAGAAATTCCAAGTATTAGAATACTATTTGCTGATAAATTATGTAACAACGTGGCAATAAGTACATACATAAATATCATACAAGATATGTAACGTATATAAGGTATCTTTGCATTTTTGGCTAATAGTGTAAACTGTGAAATTTTTAAACACGTTTTGATAAAAATCATCGATGCACCGAACCGAGAGGCAATCGATGACCCCATCTATCGGGTCAATTATTAACAAAGGCGTTGAAACGTGCAACGATACCGTTTAACAACAAAGCAACATACATAATTTTCATTTCGAGTTGTTCGATCTTTTCAGCTCGCTTTTTTAAACTCTTCTATATTTAACTCTGCCTTTCTATATTCTATCTTCTACGTATCGTTACTTGTTACCGCTTTTTCAAATTATCTTTCATAGCTAGCTATTAAAACTTCACACACAAACTTCATGAGGTCTTTAAAAATAAGAAACGATAATTATCTTGTTAAATTTAGTATAAAGTAAGTTAAGTGCATTGTCGCGATAATTATTGAAAGACACGAGTAAAATCGAGGAGAATTACCTATTAAAAAAGAAAAAAAAAGACAATGGTGGTATGTTACCGGAATGGACACCATGTTAGTTGTTTATAACCCTTGTTATAATAAATAAAGGACGTTGCCTAATCATTCTCGCTCGAGGTCGGAGTACACTTAGTAAAACTTCGTTGTATTCTTCTGAAAAAACGGCGACAAACCTTGCGTTATTTTTAATGTTGTACGTGAACAGCTCTGTACGAATAAAGGTTTAGAAGTAATGATATTGATAGTTTTCATTGATCCTGATTTTTCAGTAAAAAAAGATCAATAATCTTTAATATTATCGATAAAAATTCACAACGAGCAATTAAATAACGAGAAATGGAAATATAATAATTGTTGAAAAAGATATGTAAATATTCATGTTATACATGTTAGAAATAATTTCTATATGAAATAATTACAAATTAAAGAATTAAATATGAAATTCAATGAGATATATAATAACCAAATATGTTTTTATGTAGATGTATTCTACATCTTGAAAGTAGATATAACATTTATATTTTTTACATTAAAAATTCAAATACGTTATAGTTTCGAAAGAGAAATGATGAAAGTTCCATGTTACATTCTATGTTTGGTTTATTCGCATACTAAAAACAAGTGTACACGAAGAGAGAAGGATAGAGATAGATTAAAAATTGTGAAATCAGCGCCATCTTCAGAGTGCCGCAAATGAAACACATGAAACAAGGATAGTAAATAGTAAAAGAAAGATAGAGATAAATTAAGAACTGATCAGTAGCGCCATCTCTCGAAAATTAAGAACATCTCTTTAGAAAGAGATTTTAGACACACTCAAGAGATGGCGCTAATTTTCAATTCTTATTCTGCTTTATCCTTTGATATTTAATAGATGGCGATAATAGTCAATTCTTACTCTATCTCTATCCTTTTCTTACTATTTTCTGTCCTTCCTTTGTGTGTTTCATTTGCGGCACTCTGAAGATGGCGCTGATTCCACAATTTTTACTCTATCTCTGTCCTTTTTGCACTATTTGTTTTTCTTTGTTCTTAAATATCAAATAGTAGAGGTTTTATAGATGTAATGATTACAAAAGAATAATTCTTTTATAAAAAAAGATCTTTATTTCTAATAATTCTATGGAAATATCACATGAATACATATTTGTTCTTTCGATTATTCTTTGATTGTTTTTATCGATTTATCAACTCATTCTTCAAATTCACTCACTCGTATCACACATTCATCTCGAATAAAAATTATAAATGGTCATTCTCGTTATTTCTATGGTTGTATAATAAATATAAGCAAGGTAATGCGTTCGACTAAAGATACTTCAGCGTGGAATTATTCGTTCAGAAGAAAATAAGTGTTAACTATCTGTCATCTCTTTTGCAATTTCCTTTATTCGTTGATTGAACATTTCACGAATTTCTGTGATAGGTTTCACCAAATAGATTGGCACATCATCGTCTCGTCTCTGTAACAGATTATAATTATAATCAATCATTATAATTCTAATTTTTTATTGAAAAAATTTATGAAATGCTTTCCTACTGACAAGCAATATTCGATTTCAATTTTTGTACAAAAATTCATTATCATCTACCTGAAATAGGACTTCTCCTTCGAAATCTACGAATTTCTGTTTTCTAGCTCTCAGCAAAAGTCCTACGCATTTATTACTAATGTGGGTATAAATGTTGAATAAATCTCCAAATGTGATCGCAATAATTTCTGGTTGGTCCCGACATGGTGTGCCTTCTTGATGAATGATCTCGCAAAGTTCGAGCACTTCTTTTAAAATATGTGCCGCGGCTTTTTTACCGCGAATGTCTGTTAAAGAGCCAGCTACTGGTCTAAAATTAAATATTATTTTAAAAAATTAATATTCTTGTTAATTATATTTATTTTAAAAGCTCACCTGCCATATTCATCCTTCGAAAATTTTTGTTTTTCGATGTTTAAACCGGAAGTAAATGGATTTTTGTTCTGTTTGTCTTTGTGTTTGTTTGCATATTGATCGAACATTGCTACTTTGTCACTAAGTTTTTCCTGAAAAAATAATCATCGCAGAAATTCTAATTAATTTTAATACTTATTGCGAGTAAAAAAAAAAATTGCATTTAAAAAATACAAGATTTATTTTAATCATATTTCGATTATTTTTACATTAGAATTAGGTACTATAATTTGATATTATTTTAAAATATTCAGGAAATATTTAAAATTAATAGAATACTTTTTCAATAAAAAAAAAACAAAATACCTATTTAAAATTATAAATAATAAAGTAAGAAGTGTTTATGGAATATTCGACGCGATTGTAATGTAGTCAAATAAAAACTAACATCGAATTATTGAAATCAACAGTGAAGTTTCTAATCTTTGAATAATAAGTTAAGAAAGCATTCATTTCATATAAGTGTGAAAGTAATTTGAAAATACAATATTTCATTGATATCAAGATAATAGAATCAAGTAATAAAATCTCCAGCGCTTCTTTCTTTTTTAACATAGAAAGTCAGAAAAATTAAAATAATAATCTGGAAATTTTAAATAACTTTCACTATGTAAAAACACATTTTCATCACATTTTTCTTGTTATAATATTCTTCAAAAATACGTAAATATGAAAGTGATTTTAATTTCAAATTAACTATACTTTATGAAATAAAGTAGAAATAATTAAGAAAGTGATGAAATCATTTTTATTAATAGCATTTTAATTATTATCTATATACGTATATATTACATATTGATAATTCTATTGTTAATCTAGTTAGGTTAGTTTTACTTCTTGCAAATCTAAATATAACATAATGCATTTGAAATAAAATTATTATTATAAATATATTAAAAGCAAATATTTTATCAAATTCGTTTAAAATATTCGTTTTTTTCAATTAACATATTCAAATAATTTTTATTTCAAAATATATAATATAATAGAAAGTTAATAAAAATTAATATCCTCCTATATCAATTTTGAGATAGTTTTATATACGTATACTGCTTTATATAAATATATCACTTACATCCATTTAAAAGCAATATAGAAATACAAGAGCCAGACAAATTTTTATAACTTTAACTTGAAATTTTTAGATTTTTATTAGTTTCACCGCTTAGTGGTTACTGCACTAAATATTCAGGACAAGTGTTAGAAAGACGGCAGAGCCACAGCGTGTCTAATCAACGAAGTTGGATAGTAGCCAATTTGAACCATTTAAAGAGCGATTCTAGCCATAAAAGACACCTGGATGGCTTTCTGACAAATTCAATATTCATCATTTAAATAAATTTCTCAAATACGGAAAAATGAACATTTAACCAAAATTACGAATAATGATTGGTGAATATAACGAGTAAGTATATTCTTTTATATATTGACAATAAAAATTTGTGTTTGATAATCTGTATATAATATAGGTATCAAAAATTGATTGAAATTTATAATATACGTAAAAATTTGAATGTAAAAAAATATGAAAATTGTTTAAAATACTGAAATGAAAATTTCAATGATCAAATTGAAAACAATATTTAAATAATCAAAAACATCGCAAATATCGCAGAAAATAAATGTGCAGTACAATCGATTCAATAAAAAAATACTTGTTTCAAATTCAAGTTCATAGCCAAGGCTAACTAAAATTATCAGATCATATCATGAGTAAGTTTTTCTAGTTAAGTTTTAAGAAACAATATAGAAATTCAACATCTACATATCTACATATAATTATAATCATATTTAAAATTATACTCACTAGCATTACAGAAGACATCGTTTCACTGGGTACTTTAATACAATGTGTCTGATAAAAACTATGAAGAAAAACGAAGAAGAAGCGAAATAGAGGATTAAATGGAAAGGATTCTACTAATACTGTTCGATACTGTTTCAAATGAATGAAACTATTATAAAAGAAATCGCGTTTGAGATCGATTTCTATGGAAATATTCTTGCGACGTCTCTTGTACCTCGTATGTGAATGCAGCGTCGCGACGCCGGGCGTCTTTTTATAAGATACCAGCTACGTCAAAAGACTCCCACCAAGAAATTCCACCAAGAAATATTTGCCGCGTTTCCGAGCCAATTCCGTGAGAATTCGCGTCGCGTCACTCGACTGGCCAGAACCGGAAATGATAATTCTTCGAGATTGGGGCAGCCGTTGTATCCACCCCTTGATTAACTAATTCGTTTATCCGTGTAATGAGTAATTTATTCTATTTTTTAATAGAATAATTAAAAATTTGATAGAAATTTTTTTGGATAATTAATAATAATAGAATTGCAATTATTTATAAGACATTTTGAACTGAATAAAGATTATATGTATATATAAAACTGAATATTTAGAACTGAAATGAAGATAATATAAACATACATTTAATATTGTGTGCGTTATTGGAATATAATCAGAATAGGAATCAATTATTGGAATATAATCAATTATTGGAATATAATCAGAATAGGAATCAACGATATTCTAAACATTTTTAGTAGAATAAATTGCACTTAGAATATTACTGTGCATTTGGTATGTAGCATCGCATGTCCTGATATTTCATTTCATAGTTCTTGCCGCGTATTTATATTAATTTATTAATAGCGAATAGTAAATGAGGATACAGATGATCGGAAATACGGTTTGATTTTAAGATACTCTTTCGTTCCTGGAATTTCAAGCTTCAAGGAAACATGGGTTGTACGTTTATAAAAGAAAATATACGTGAATGTAGGATTCCAACCTCGGTCTAGATCAATACGTGCGAATATTTTGCATTCCATGCTAATTTTAAATACTATTTTCCAATGAAATTCCAATCGTTGCACATGGCCATTGTTTTGACTGTACTTTAACTAAATATACAATTGATTTAGAACACAGATGTGAATGAATGATCTACTCGCTTTGGTATTTTATTCTTAAATATTTTGTTAATAGTAATTGTATTCAAGATAGCTCTTCCAAACTTAATTAATCTTTATTTCTTCGCATAGTTTAATACACAGACTTTCTCATAACCATAGTCAT